GAGTTGCAACCAGAGTCACGGAATGGATTAAGTTCGTAACTAGAGGTACCACTGTATTCTTTTACCATTACTCATACTTCTACTGTACTTACATGCATTTATTATGTAGGCTTCTCACTTACCAGTTAGCAAAATGTGAGAGAGCACCAGCAAAACAAAACAAACACCTCCTTGCTGCTGGTGGCTGACCTTGGCAAACTATTTTTAAAAGGAAGAAAGAATACTCTTAAACTAGGTTATATCAGAAGATGAGCTGGGGCAGAGGGAGGAAGAAGCTCAGAGGCTTCCTTTTAGAAATCTAAGGCCTTCCTCGGCCAGGCCGTGCAAGAGAATACAGAAGAAAAGCCATTTTATACAAGGAAGCACAGAAAGAATGGTACTCTCAATCTAAGCCTCTAGCCCAATACAGTTGTATTCCACAGTTGCACTGGAGTCAACAGTGTAAGAAATACTTTAAAAAGAAAGACCTTTGCAAATCTAATAAATAAATCTATTTATTCACTGAAATAAAGATTTAAATAAAGATTTAAAAATAAGAAATTTAGGAAAATATCCATGGAGAAGTTAGCTTCATTGGGCTTTGCCTCTTCTTCCAGCAGCAATTCCATTAAGATTCCAGGTCTCTCCCTTAGTTCAGGCAAGTCACCTCTAATTTGGAGCTTTTCCTCTGAGCTGTTTCCACTCCAGTTGGGTACGATAAGAAGACTAATCACTTCTAGCAATTACAAGATTCATATATCATTAAGAATTGGTAGCTGAATATCCTTTTGTACTTAGACTCTTCCTGCCCCTTTTCCTTTCCTGTTGTGTGTGTGTATGTTTTCGTTTTAAGTGGTAATTCTGAGGACAGGAACTCAGAAGTTCTGAGAGGACAGGAACATTTCTTGATCTCTAAGATGCTGGGGCAGCATTTCTAGCTACAAGGTGGGAGATAAATGCTTTAATAAAAATAATGACTAGAAAGCATTTTAATCAATGCTGTTGCAGGCTAAACGAAGGCAACGAAAAGAAGCTGCAGCCACAGATTCAAAGAAAACTAAGGAGAAGCTTCTGAAAACCTTCCTGAAACGACAAGCAATCAAAACTGCTTTAGCAGGCAGAAGGCAAGAACAAACCCATGTCTGTGTATAAATATCCATGGGAGCTTTCAGTTTTAAGAATTTTGTTTTCCCTAACATGAAATATCCTTGTATTCCCAGCAATGCTGAATTTCCTAGTCTTTCAGAGGTAAGAAGAGAAGAAGTAGATGACATTTATGTGCTCCGTTCCTTACGAGAAGATAAAAAAAACAGGTGAGTGGAACAAGTTCAAAAGTTAGATTGTTATGTAAACATTAAGAAGCAATAGAGCCCAAAACACTCTTTGGTTTTCTGTGGAAAAAGTTTTGTCATTTAGCAAATTGCTACCTTTATTTTTAATGCATAGCTCGGAAGAGGAAGAGGAGAAAGAATGGGAAGAAAGGATGACCCAGAAGAAAATATTGCAAGTAAGACTTTTATGTGTTTCATGTTACATTTCAATATTTTCAAAATGAATTAATAATAATAATAATAATAATAATAATAATACATTTATATGCTGCCTGACTCCCAGCAATTCATAAGGATCATGAAGTAAAATCATACGCTGCAATTCAGTCCTAGTATTAAAAACACTAGACCACTTTATATGGCACAGTAAGCCAGAATTCTGAATAACTTCTCCCCATGATTTGTTTAATTTTGTATCGGAACTAGGAGCTTACAGCTCCTCTAATATGCCAGAATTTGAAGCCAGGGTTTGCTCTTTGTTTTAATTCTGGTTGTTTGCTCTGCACATAATGACATCAGTGTGATTCCCCCAGACCTCTCCAAAAGTTGGTCCCAAATTGTTGCTTTTAATAGGACATGAGGGGATAAGTATTATATATGTGGAGTACTCATGTTAGCTGTATTTAATTACATTTACTTTAGTTATATTTAAATAAATTTGAAAATAGTTTTGTCCCTCTCATATTCAATTTTGAAGCGGAGCTTCTGGCTTGTGAAGAAGATTACACACCTATTCTTACATTTGTCCCACATTTTAGAAGCAGCAGATTTTAGCCTAAGACCATTGGGAGTTCACTCTAGACAAAGCAGACAATACTGGTCTAGTTGAAGCAGGGGCTTAACCCCATAAGAGACACCTTCATAGGCTATTGTGCTATCTGAAGTTTAATAAAAATGGCCTTTAAATATCTTTATATTTTGGACATTGTCCCGATTTCACTTTATTGTGCTCCATGATTTGGGGCTATAGCATAAATGGAGAGGAATTTTGAGGAAAGAAGCAATGCTTCCAATCTGTAAGTAAGGAACTACTGCATAAGCCTTTTGATCTATAAAATACTGGATTAAAAAAAAAAAAACTTCCATAATGCAATTAATAAGAGTAGGATAGAGTAACAAAAAGGGATTGAGCTGTGAATCAGGAGGAACAAGGTTTTGATACTAACTCTCTAATGAGCTCATTAACTAATAATTTCTGCTAATTATACCTGTTGTCCAATCCTAGTCTAGCATCCTGCTTTCCCATAGTGGTCGTATGGGAAGGTGTTTCTGGGATGCTCATAAGGAAAGATTTGTAAGGACAATACTCACCTCCCTGCATTGTTTCCAGGAACTGATATTTCAAAGCACATTAACAGATTCTGGGGATAACAAGCCATGTCTCTTGGCTTCTCCCCCTTAAATATGCAGGAGGACCCTATATCTCATACATGCTTTCATCTTGTCTCTGGCATGGCATCTGAGAAGCCCTACAGTTTGCCTGATTTTTCTCCTCTTAAAATAGAAAAAAAAAAATTGCCCTTAGAAGGGCAAATTTTGTCTCAGACCTTCATGGAAACTTCAGGAGCAGATATGTTATTTAATCTAAAGATATCCCAAGTCACTTTCCCCCCCATATACCAAAGATATACTTTGGACTTTATTGACAAAAGCTGACACTGGGTGGACTCGTTTCTAATGCTGATCTACTAAATTCCTAATGTGTGCCTACAACTTTCTGCTACTTGTTTCAGAAAACCAGTGAGTGTCTTCAACCTGTGTAAAGGAGGTTTGGATAGGTTCTTTTTATGCTTCTTGCCTAATCTACGTGTATAACTTATGCCACTCATTTCACAAAACTCATGTTTTTGTACTCCTACTTCCTACTTTGCAAAGGAAGAATTGCTTGAAAACCCTCGTTCTGTAGACGTTGAATCAGAAGATTTCTTGAGCTTGCCTCCTGAAATAAAACACGAGATCCTCACTGACATGAAGGAATTCACAAAACGAAGAAGAACATTATTTGAAACGATGCCTGAGGTAATGGACAGACTTTCCTTTACCTTCTCAAGCAGAAGAGCACCTTGTCTGGAGCTGATGAATCTCTGTTAGGCAACCCTGTATCGCTGTTAAGTACTAATGTTGAAAATACTTGGGTAATAATTGTCAGTATACAGGTTTTAACAGTATTTCAACAGTGGAACATTCATACTGTAACTGCTTGAATGAGAATACCTTGGGAAATAGGGACATTTGTTATCACTTTTCATCTTTGGATACTTTCATTGAGACTTTACAATAAATGAAGCTTCCTTGTAGGCAGATATCCTTATTTGGGTACTTTACTTCTGGGTTTGTGCTTACTCATCTATAGATCCTTATTACATTTCTATCTTGCTATTCCATAAATAAAATCAGCTAATTTCATATTTAAGATTTGTTAGAAACTAAAAACCAAATATCCCAGTATAAAACAGTCAAAATACCAATTGTGAAACTAATAGGAAAAAGAGCTTTGGTGTCTCCCTGCACCAAGGGCTCC